TATATGAATCTAATAAAAACTCAATTTTTAAAAAAATGTAAAAATGGGCTGTTTCTATTGTCCGCACCCCATATAACGTAGCATGATCAGAAAGATTCAAAGCAACGTTTGTTTTGTCAAACTCAAAAATGTGTATAGAAAACTATGTTAAGTATTTTAACATTAGCTTTTTCTAAATGAATCACTATTTTGTTAACTCGAATGCTAATCTTAACGGTATTAAAGAATATTTGCCTACGCTACAAAGTCGGCTTGACTGTCATCTTCCTTACTATTGTAAATGCTACACAATAATCACGTGAATAACAACCGAGCGCTTAATGATGCATAGATTCTTGTAAAAATATTATTGGACAATTTTTTAGTTCTTTTATATTCGCTTTTGTAATAATTTTTTTTTCGACATTCTGTTCAAATTGCCCATAATTTAATATGAGTAATTTATACAAACATGCTTTAAAACAAGAACAAGGTCTTCGACAAGATCTAGAAAAGTTTGAAAATGGAGATGACGTTTCTGTTGGGATACAAGGTAGTATTATTACTGCTTTTCTTGAATATTCAATATACGTTGAACGTTTGAATCCTTTAATAAAGCTTGTGCTCTTTCCTTGATCTATAGGTCAGATATCGGTTGGTCTTACCTCATTAAAACGAACAATTGATGATTATGATAGTTTGGCCAAAAGAGAAATGATACTTGTAAAGCAAGAGAAAGCTTTAGTGTAGGTTTTTACTCTTTACCTTATGGACTGAGCATTAAATCATTAATTTTCTAAAACATGTAATCAATCATTTATTTAGTAATGTATGCAAGCTAAGGGATAACTATAACGAATTGAAAAATCAATTTGATAGGCTGAAACAACGAGAAGCGAATAAGGTTTGCTTTATAAAGATTCTCGATCCATATATTCGAAAATATTTAATTGCAGTATTATAATTTATTTTTGAATTTTATAGATGGCACAAAATAGCAGGGCAGAGTTACTGGGACGAAGACATAATACATCTACTGTATGTTATATCAATCATCTACTGTTATGTGAAAACAATATTATACTTATGTATTTTTTTTTTTTTTTCACAACAGCCGGAATATCCCTTTCAACACGGTGCAACCAGAGAACAACATGCACTTCGAGAGCATGACTTTATTAACGAAACAGATTCAAAACTTGATGAATTCATAGCACATGGAAGAGAAGTATTACATAATCTGTATGACCAGAATAATACTTTAAAGGTTTGTCATAACATTTGTATAAAAATTCCTCATGATCTTTAACAAAATAAGCTAATGAGATTTTTATAGAATGCACAAAAAAAGATGCTTGACGCAGCAAATACTCTTGGCTTATCACGTAACGTTATTCAATATATAGAACGTAGATCAACTCAGGATAAATGGATTTTTATAGGTGGTGTAATTATTACTTTATTTTCTATGTGGGCTATTGTACATTATTTAACATAATTTGGATATATATATATTTCTTATGAAATGTTTGTTGGATTTTATAAATTATCGAATTTATTATGATTAATGATTGTTTTTATGTGCTATATTGGAAGGAGTTTGTATAACCGGTTTGGTTAAAAATTATATAAAGTTGAATAATTTAATTTTCCTACAGATTGAACAGCAGTATTTGTAAAATAAAGTGCGTAAAGGTATGATAGTTTCATTATATTATGGTTATTTTATTCAAAATATCTAATTATTCATTTTTGGTTAAAGAAATATTACCTAGAAATTAAAAGGGATTTTATTAATGTAACTTTATATTATATAATATGAAAAAAAGTAAATACACTTTTATTTCAGTATTTTCAATTATTGTGATGTGGTCTTATAAATTAAGAATATTAAGTCTGAAGAACTGATTTTGTTTTAATAATCCTTTACTTTGATTTATTGACAAATGAGTGTCGTCAAAGGAAAACCTGTCATCGGGCTTTCAATGTTTAGTTTGTTCCCTGAGCGCCGTCTATGGTAAGTCTATCATCAGGCTTTCAATTATATTTTGTGATGACTTATCACAAAATATAATTGAAAACCCGATGATAGATTTTCCATAGGCGGCACTCAGGAAGCAAACTGAACATTGAAAGCCCGATGACAGGTTTTCCTTTGACGGCACTCAAATATTAAATATATAACTACGTTTCTGTTGATCTTGCATAATAAAACAGATATACCAGGAACGTAGTAATGAAATTACGAAGTGTATGGTTATCAAGGACTCCGGATAATTCTAATAGAGGTGGTATTATTAAACCGGACATTTTTTTTGGGCCACGTGACGCTAAATTCTGGTCAAAACGAAAATTAAATTTTTGTTTTGACCAGAATTTAGCGTCACGTCCCCAAAAAAATGTCCGGTTTAATAATACCACCTTTTTTTAGAATTATCCGGGGTCCTGGTTATCGCCGGTGATCACGGATATAAAAAGTTACACAGCACATCCCAAGAAGCAAGTGCCAGACTACCAATCAGATTTCAAGATCAGGAGTAACGTTACACGATCAGAAAAACTTCAAAACAAACAAAAATCGGTCATTTCTCATAAGAAACAATCTTTGTGCTTCAATAAAAAATTTTTCTTGACCGATTTTGGAGTCATTTAAAGCGTTGTGCAATCACGTGATATAAGGCCAATCAAATTGTTTGTTTTGATCGACACGGATCAGCCCGACGAA